CCCTAAGTAACCAGGTGGGCAGTACCTTAACCCTAGAGGTCCCTGAGCTCATTGTGGGAGTAAGCTGACACCAGTGCTGGGGGCAGGGCAGGTAGAGGAGAGACTGTCCTCTGAGCAGGGAGAATAGCAGCACATCTGCTCCTATGGATAGAGCTCCTGGCCGGATAGCAATCAGTCATGTGCTTTTGAGAGGTAACATCAAGGCGGCCCCATGATGGGAGGATATTGTGGGGATGGTTTTTAATTAGGAGGATGTGACTGGGACTCTGCTCCAACGCACACATGTAGAGGCCTCACCACGCCCAGAATCCTGGCCTCCCAGGCTTCTTAATCATGAGTATAGAGAATTTGTCTGGGTACACTCTCTTCCCCTTCCTCTGACCTTCACCTCAGAGGAACCAGCTTCATGCTGATGACAATTCATCCTGACATTAGAGGGTGTCAGGAGCTGCTAGAGTGTGGGCTATAAAAAGACTTGTCCCCAGCTCGTCTTCCCCACATATGTGTCAGACCTAGGACACTGCTTGCAACTAGTGGTAAATGTTGGTCACGTTATCTCCCTGAAGACACCAGACATCCAGAACAAGGGGACACCATTGTTTATCCCACAATAGGTGGGGCTCACTCCCTGCTGTGAGGGAAGTGGATTGCTTCCCCTGAAAAGCTTACAATAAATCAAGTCTCTAGTTCAAGGAAAATCAAGAATCTAAGATCAGCCCATCTTGTCATATGATACCCTTAATCCCTCTTCCTATCGTTTGCATATCGCTAGATCACTCCCCTCCCATTACTGGATTACCTATAATAGAATACCTACCTGTGAAGTATGTTTTACCTATAATCAGGGGGCTTGCACATCCCCAAAAGATACATAAGCCTTGGTTGGAAATAAATCACTCTCTCCTGCCCTCCTGCCCTCTCTGCTTGCACTGAGACCTGGCTGTTGAGATCATGGCTGTCCAGGAGGTGAGCATGCTACTATGAAATGTGTCTGATTCCTTCATGTTACTCTCTCTCCTATCTCTATTATTCTCTATGACCTTACTACAATCTTTATATATCATAACCATACAATTGCACCTATCTGACCTGGGATACAGTGGTGGGGGCTGGTTTCTCCCACACTAGAGTGTTACCAGAGGATATGAAAAAGACAATGATGGTAAACAAGTGGCCATCTAGCTCAGAAGCAACAAAGCCCACATGGAAGAAGCACACCAGCCGGGTGATCACGAGGTGTCAAAGGGATCAGGTATTAGGTATCAAAGAACAAAAAAAATTAAATCATTGTGAATGTGGGGGAGTGCAGATTGGGGACCCAAGACCCATCTGTAGGCAACTGAACATCCCCTTACAGAAGGGTCTCAGGGAGGAAACGAGCCAGTCAGGGTGCAGTTTAGCAACGATGGAACATACAACTTTCCTCTAGTTCCTAAATGCTTCCTCCCCTCAACTATCATGATCCCAATTCTACCTTACAAATCCAGCTAGACCAGAGGATGTACACTGGTACAGATAGGAACTGGAAACACA